AAAAAAAAAATAAACCAAGCTCAAGAAGGGCTGTTAAGATTCATATATGAAATGTGGCTGATCACTGATACTGACTTCTCTAGAGTAACAAAACAGATACGGCGCATGAGCAAAACGCCTCCCTCCATTCTGATTTTTTTTTTTAAGCGTGATTGGCCTTTCATTAGAAGACATGGTTCTTAAAAACCCTTCCACAGCTCAGCTTCAACACACATTAACACTGAGGTTTAAAAAAAAAAACACACACACACACAAGCGTTGCTGCCCTCGCTCTCTCACACACAGCAGGTTGACAATGCTTAATTTAAAAATGCGACAGGATCCAAGTACAAAGGAAGTAAAGGAGCGCCAACTTACCACTCAAGTTTCGACTGTTTATCCTAAAGTTCAGCGGGGCAAAAGGCTTCGAGGACACAATTTGACCACCTGTTTGCAGAAAAGGGGGAGAAAAAAAAACAACAGCCAGCCCACTCATTTCCGTGTCGTGGTGGAAAAAGCAGAGACACGCAGTTGTATATTCCAGAGTCAGAAAGACTAAACACCTTAACCTTGAGAGGTGAGCAGGGGTTGCGTGGAGCAGAGCTGATCATTTTTGGATTTAAGCACGGCTTGATTTCAAACGGCCAAGCTGTTTCATCCTACCTCTAGGGACCAGAGGCCGGGCACAGAACTGAAGGACAGACATTGCAACAGGACATAAAAAAAGAAATCTCCAAAATAAAGTTACAAACCCAGATGGCTTTTTTGTTTGGTTTTGTTTTGCTAGGGAGACACTTTGGACTGGTTTCGGTAGAGACAGAGAGAGAGATGCCCAGAGGTGTGCCTCCAGCGACAGTCTGGTGGCTCCTAATTTTTAAGTAAAGGCATATTTTAAACACACACATGCACATATTTGATGCACAAAGAGCATGAGGAAGAACAACATAAAAAGAAAAAGAAAACCGGGTCAAGTAAAAAAGCAGACTTGCACATACAGAACGGTTCTCCCCAAACCCTCCAAAATAAATAAAGTTTTGGGGTCCGTCAAGCAAGTTCATGCCACATCGCCTCTCCAAACCACCAAACTCAACCTGATTGACTGGGAAAAGGTAGATAAGCAATGAAGGAAAGGAGCAGCGAAGGCGATCTTATGAAATTTGGTCTTGAAAATTAAAATTAAAGGCCTTGTTTGGGAAAGGTGATTAAGAATTGCTGTATTTTTCCTGTATAAGATGCCCCATATATAAGACGCCCCCTTTCTAACCCGAAATTTCTTTCTTTGCAAGAAAGTGGAGGGGGGGGGAAGTGATTTCTGGTTTCCCCCTACATTTTCGTTGCAAAAAGCAGCTTTTCCCCCTCCACGTTTTGCAAACTCTGCTTTCCCTCTCCATTTTATTTGCAAAACGTGGAGGGGGATTTTGCAAACTCTGCTTTCCCCCTCCATTTTCTTTGCAAAACTTGGAGGGGGAAAAGCAGGGATCAAATTGCTTTGATCCCTCCCCCCCTACTTCCAAGTATAAAACGTCCCTCAATTTTTCTTTAATTATTTTAGGGGAAAGTGTCGTTTTATACATGGACAAATACGGTAATCTCGGCCGTTCATGGCTGGCTGGGTCATCCCTGCCATGATTTCCTGGAATCATCCACTTTATCCCATGTTTTTTTGTTTTTTTGTTTTTAAACAAGACAGAAACCTTTGAGATCTGGATTTCTCCCGGGACGCTAAAGCTGAGAAAGCACCCGAAGAAGTATTAAAGTGAAGGAATGAAGAAGGAAAAGTCATGAAACTCATAAAATGTGAAAAAGGTAGAATACTTTGGTCGTAATAATATACCAAGAATGTATAGACCATGACCACGGATGGTTTGAGGGGAAATAAATAGGAAAAAGCGCGGCTGGGAGAGGCAAGTTCTGGTTGTAAAAAAAATTAAAATAAAAACCAGAAACGAGTCACTGTGACACGAATGCAAGAGTAGGTGACAACTTTGCTTTTAAAAAAGGGTCTAATCATTTGCTAGCTTTTGTGGATCAGGACCGCCACAATAACATCAACAATGAGGAACAAGAGGAAGTGGGAAGAAATTAGATATTCTCACCCTCGCCCCAAGTTTTTGGATGTTGAAGGTCTGGAGTAACCCATAATGAGTCCGGGGGGGGGCAGAAAGAAGGCCCCTGGGCCCGCCTGCCTGCAACCCACTTAAAACAGTTCCTCACTTCTGGTTTGGACAAATGCCTCTTTACTTTACTTTCTTTTTTTCGACAAACGGGCTGGAAGGGGCCAAAACGTGTGCCGTGTTTGAGGGGCCGTCAGGGCAGCCCCTCTGGGAATCGCTTTGGGGAGCTCTCAGTGGAACGTTTGCGGCAGGAGACTCCGTTTTGAAACGGTCCTTTGCCATGGAAAATGCAACGGGATTGAACGAGGCAGAGGAAGCGGGTCGGAGAAGGGTTATTGGCAAAGAGGATGCAGAGCGGTCACGGGCCGCAGCTGCCGGGGAACTATTATCCAAAGTCAAAGGAGAAGAGGAGTGCCTGGTAAGGCGAAAGGCAAAGCTTTAGGCCAGGAAAGACCAGGGAGGAAGCCTAACCACCTGCAGACAGACCGAGGATAGTGGGTGATGGTTCCAGAATAGATGCCCAAGCTCTGCCTGGGGATTTTTCAAAATACATTGAAAGGGTAGTTTTTTTTTAACAAGGTGAGATCCAACCTGAGTCGGTTTTCTGTTGAAGCGCAAAGACCAGAATGGCTCAATAGCAGACTTCTTTTTTTTAATGCAGTTGACTGAAATTGCGGTTGAAATCAATTCAAATACAATCTGTGCCGGTGAAGATGGAATAAAACCAGCTGTGCTGGACATTATCTTCCCCCCATCCTCCAGACAACATGAAGTGACATCCAGAGGCTTAAATGGGGCTAAATAGGTTACAGGTGGCTTCCTGCCCCTCCTTGAAAAGTTTCACGTCCAGCTCTTTTTTGCAGCAATCACCAAGACGTCCAGAGGTTTGTCATGGAACCGACAGCCGGAGGGGCAACCCGCATCTAAATCCCCTTCATTCAACGGGTCTACTCTAGTTGAGGCTGGCCATTGGAATGAGCCCAAAGAAATCCCAGAGGACACCCAACGGAGGAAGGCTGAGCGATGGCATTAAGAAGAGGATAAAGGGAGATGTTCTAAATAGTGTTAACCCCGAGCTTCTGGGAAATGAGAGGAGCCAAAAAACAGAAAAATAACAGAGAAAAAGCTTTCAGCCTGGACAAAAGCCAAACCCAAACCCAAAAGAGTGGAAGAAGCAAGAAGGCATACAGTCTCAGGAGATCGAGAACAGCAGATGGGGCCACTAACTTTCAGAAACCGGATGGAAACACACCACGGAACAACAGATCACCAATTTGGCTCGAGCTACCTTGTCAAAACAGGTGCCGCTTCTACCCCCACCCATCCCCAAAACACACCCAAAGAAGTCGGAAGGGACACAGATCCTTACCTTCTTTCATGTTTGCAAATCGCTCCTTCAGCTGGTGATCCACCTCAGGACCAAAGGCAAAGTTATTCACAAAAATAACACTGCAAGATAACAGAGTATTAGGGAAAACGTGCACACAGACCCAGGGTCTTGTTTTTCAGGAAGAAAAGGAGAGGATTTGGGGCGGGGGGAGGATTTAATTTTTCCCCCCCAATGCTGGCAAGATAGGGTATGAAGCTTGGAGTATTGGGGGGGGGGAGCAGATTTACTGCGACCCTGCTGGCCTCAGAAACCCACGTTTAAAATAAACCAGTGGTGGTTCTCTCTCTGTACCGTGTTTGCAATGGGCGAGCGATTGGCAGTCACCATACCTTGTGTTCGCGATCCTCTCTCGCCATTCTTCCGAG